CGCCGCCTCCGCGGAGAGACTCGCGCCCGGTTCCCTGCTCCTTCCCCCTCTTCCTTCCTTCCTGTCCCCAATCTCCCGCGCGCGCCCCATCTTTCTTCCCTCGCTCCTTCTCCCCCCACTTCCATCTCCTCGTCACCCTCGCACTTTATAACCAAACAGCCAAACCCCTTTCCAATTAAAGTGGAATTAGGCAACTCAATCAAATTAGCTCCCCATTAAAGCCCTTCTTTATTAAACCGTTCTCTTGTCCTGCTATTAAGTTTCACCGCCTGGCGGAACTCGAGCCGGCCCCAGAAGTTTACCTCGGGATGTCGCGGGGGCCAGCCGAGGGGAGGGGGCGCCCAGCTTCGCGAAGAGGGGGAGTCGGCGCGTCGGGAGCCGGACTGACCGCGGGAGGAGGGGGCGGCCCAGCAGCCGCGAATTTGCTCAGCGCCGCTGGAGCAGGGAAAGTAAAAGGGGTGCGGAGTGAGGTCCGGCTGGAAGGCGCGTCCTCCCCTCCACTCTCGGGTTACACTGCCTCCGGCGGGAGCAGCACCCCACTACTCCCGAAACTCCAATAACGCCCCAAAATAACTCTAGGACGTCGTCTTCCCTGGCAGCCTTCCCTCGCCAGCCGCCACCTCCCCGCGGCCCCCGGTCCCAAATCTCTCCCAGAAGGGGGGCGCGCGGGGTACGACCCGGGCTGCGCCCGAATCTGAGCCTCGGGAAGAACCAGAACCCGGTGCCAGCCTCGCAGGATTCCGGGAAAGCGCCTGGTCCCGGGGCCGAGCGCACTGGCGAGGCGACCGCGCGCAGCGAAGCCGAGCGGAGGGACGCGGGTCCCGGACGCGCGGGGGGCGCCGCTCCTCGGCGGGTTCTCAGCCGCGGGGCGCTCCCGGGCGCCGCGGGGTTTCCTCGTCCCGCTCCCCCGAGGGTCCGGGCCACAGCCTCGACCTCGGTCAGGTTTCTCCCTGGCGGCGCGGCCCGAGCAGGAAATCACGACCTTTTCGATCCCTCTGCCCGAGGATCGGGACGGGATTCGGTGTTGTTTTCTTAGAAAATAACATTTATTTCTAGCTCATGTCTATGCAAAGGAAAGCACAAAGTGAGCCACTCTCTGCAGCGGCGTTTCCCGCGGTCAGCGCCTCGGCCGAGGCGTCGGCGAGTCCCGGAGGCGGGGCTGGCCCTCGGAGGCCGGGGCGGGCTCAGTCCCAAGTCGCTGCGTTCCCGCCGCGCGCCCCTCGACGGCTCCCGGGGAGACACCGGCCCCGGCAGGAGGGGCAGGTGGGCGAGACTCGCCCCGAGTTTACAATATATTTAGTCTATAAAACCTGATAAGTACAATGCGCGCATAGTCTAATTTTTCCATTTTTTTCCTTTTTTTGCTTTTTTGAAAATTTTCCACGTTAATACCGAGGTCACCTACAGATTACAATTAATAACTTAGAATTCCATTTTATAACATTATACACTGGCTTGTATATATATGTATAGATTATATATAGATTTATACATATATAAAAACTCACACTGCACCAGGGAAACCCATGCTTACCGGCATAAGCAACAAAGAGCGACAAAAACCGCAATGAGGAAAGTGCACCGTAGAACTTGTTTCCTTTTTTTTAAACAATTGATATCGATATATATGTGTGTCCCAAAGACTCGACTCAGTGCCAAGAGATTTATACATCCTAAATTTATATTTGTTAGAGCAAATATTTAAAATTTTTTAAAGGGAGGGGGAGACACAGAAGACAGACCCTCGGAGCATCCTGCCAGCCTTTCGAGCGCGCGGGCGGAATGGGCGTCGCTTCAAGGAGGGGCAGAGCCCGCGCTCCGAGGGCAGCCTTTGAATTCTCGAGGCTCGTGGACTTGGGAAGGGCTGGGAGCCTCAGGGAGGGGTCGGGGTGACGGTCCGCGCCTCGCCCCTCCCGCGAGAACTTCTGCATCCGCAGCTGCTCCTCTCTGCCCAGCTCCCCCACCCACCCTTCAAAACAAAACTTAAAACCACCTTGGCGCGAAAGGGCCTCAGCTGGGACGCAGAGCGCGCACCGGGCAAAGGGGACGAGGCTGGGGTCCCTGTTTGGGGCCGCCCAGCCGCCAGGCCCCTCGCCCTACTGCTTCTCGGGGGTGCCGTTGACCATGGGCCCGTACAGGCCGCCGCCGTAGGACGGCTCCTTGTGCACGGCGGCGGCGGCCGAGCGGTCGCGCATGAGGTCGCTGAAGGCGTAGTCCATGGGCGGGCGGAAGCCGAGGGTGGGCACCAGGCCCGCGGTGGAGTAGGGGGCCATGAAGGCCAGCCCGCGGCTGTGCGCCGCCGCGGAG